TACATCAAAATTTGGGATCGAGAATATTAGTGCTTTTCCACTTCGAGGGTATCATACAGAGAAAAAATCATATATATGTGTTATTACTTGGAATCAATTTGACCGGTATAATGCATTAAAGGCAGTTCGTGAAGTCGGTATCCGTACAGCTTTTGATGATCTAACCCCAATATATTATTACCACAAAGTAACCTGTGAAAAAAGATTACCTCTTTTAAGTTGGGTAACATTAAGTAATTATTTCCATGAACATATTCAAGGAGGTACTTATCTCTTTCAAGTTTCTGTGAATAATTACAATCCAACAAGTGAGGACGATTATAATAATCCATTATTATCCTCGACCCTTTCACGGGATCGAACTCTTGTTTTCACATGAAATATAGAGACATATAGTTCGCTTGGTTTAGGTAAATTCCCTACTGCGCAGAGCGACGAATCTAACGTATTTATGATTTGTATGTCAGTTCATTGGAAAGATGACCCTAATCCATTAAAACAAATTTGTCTTGTCAATGTTGAAACCGCGCCAGGCCCGCATAGGACTACAATTATATGCGAATCCCAGACTAATTTACTAAAGGCTTTTGCACTATGTTGGAAGCTTTTAGCTTCAGATATACACATAGGTTTTAATGATTCACAATATGATTGGAGATTTATTGTGAAGAAGGTGAAAAAATTAGGGGTTTTTGAATGGATGTACAATCAAATGTCATTAAAGCCTTCAAGCCTCAAAAAAATTACAAAATGGCAATACCAATATAATGCAATAAAGGTTAATGATAGGGATTTCTATTCAAAGCATCTTAAAATTCCTGGATGCGTAGCTATTGATGTCCGCCTTTGCTTTATAAAATTATATTCTAAGGCCGAAAAGAGTAGTTTAGCCTTCTATCTAAACGAATGCAGGCTCAAAAGCAAATTGGACATGCCTTTTTACCGAATGTTTAAGTATTATAGAAATGCACTAAAAGAGGCAAATATAACAACGGCTGAACAAATGCGCAAAATAGCCGAGTATTGTATCATTGATGCTCTTAGTTGCCAGCGGTTAATGATTAAGCGCAATGTAATTAATGAGTATAGGGAGGTTGCGAGCATAGCATTTATATCATTATACGATGCGCATTATTTTGCAATAGGAATGAAAGTGAGTAATCTTTTAAGTGCTAGTGCATGGCGGGAAGGAATTTTAACCAGTACAATTTTAGAACGAACGGAAACAGAATCATTCCCAGGTGCCTATGTCTTCCCACCAATAAAAGGGCTCGAAAATAAACGTCCTGTAACTGGCTTAAACTTTGCATCTTTGTATTCAAGCCTTATCATGACATACAACCTTTCACCTGATAAAATCATTTTATCTCGAGAGCGTGCTGAACAAAGTGGTAAAAAACTCCACGAAATTAGTTTTAAATTTAATAATCGGGATTGTCTCGCATGGTCTATAAGACATAATAACACTTCTGAAGAAAAGGGTCTCTACGTTACTATATTGGAATATTTATCTATCAAACGGAATGAGATAAAGGAACGCCTTGCCCCTGTGAAAGAAAAAAAGGAAGATATGGAACTGGTAATAGGTTTAATGGGTAATGATTTATCACTACCAGAAGTAATTGAGCACATTTTAGCAAAAGCGGAGGAGAAAAAACGTGCCAGCCTTAACAAAAATCTATACCATTTTATTAATAAAGAAAAGCATGAATTCATGACAGAATATGATTCAGTTTGTTTTGTTTATTCTTGCTTAGATGCGAAACAAAATGCTCTTAAGGTGTACATGAATACATTTTATGGTATTGCTGGGGATAGTAAATCTCCCTTCTTCTTGCAAGCACTGGCTGGAGGCGTCACATTAGCTGGACAGAGAAATATCAAACTTGTCGCAGACTTCGTTAAAAGTAGGGATTTTCAGATAAAATATGGTGATACTGATTCATTGTATCTAGTTCCTCCAGAAAGGTGCTTTCAAGAATGCGATGAGGCATATGATAGCGGTAATGGTGAGATCTTGAAAAAAGAATATTGGTCTAAAATGGTAAAAATCTTTATGGAAGAGATGGAGAAACTCCGCGACAAAGTTAATGACTTTCTTAAAAAAGATAATAGATCGTCGTATCTTAAAATGGTATATGAGGAAGTTTTATTTCTGGTAGTATTTACTGGAAAGAAAAATACTACGGCATTCTACATGAAAGTAAGCCAAATTTTAATAAAGAGCTTTTCATTCAGGGAATTAAGACTGTAAAACGGGGTCAGTCTGACATTTTCCGCAAAATAGGAAAACGTATTATGGGAGAGTCTACAAGGGTAAACAATACACGTACCTTGCATCAGGTTGTAGAGGACGTATTCCAAGAGACTGTAAGGGATATTTCGCAGACAGATCTTAATGAAATAATAAAAACAGCTATCTGGAAACCAGACAAAGATAATAACCTATCCAGCGCTTTATGTTACAAATGCGAGATAGACATACCTGTGAAGAAGCAGACGCAAAACGGCTCATAAAAAAGGGTCTAACACCTGAGCCTTATCTTTATGAAACCCCAGAACCAGGCGAGCAGTTTGAATATGTTGTAATTGAGAATGATTCATCACAGAAGGTAGGTGACAAAATGGAATATCCAGAAGTGGCAAGACGTCTTGATAAAAAGATTGATATTAACTATTATATAAAAAGTGTTGTCAGGCTCTGTGCGTGATTTATAAACTATGATGATAGATACCAGCCATCATCTGAAATTATGCTGAAAGCCTTAAAAAAGTTAAAAGATAGTAATAAAGCGAGTGAAAATAAAGTGGATGATGAAGACGACCTGGATGAAAACAAAGAGGATGAAGACAAAATGGATGAAGATGAGGTATCAAAAATAAGAGATGCCTTAGCGCAAAAATCGGCTGAAAAGTGGATTAGGGGATATATCAAAAGCCTACGTGATGGTCCGAAAAAAGATAAAACCATCATATCTCATTTATGGGAAGGAGCACATATTTACGCGAAAAAATTATTTGATACTACTTATGCCGACAAGGGAGAACGCCTGACTAACAATTTTTATTGCCAATCCTTCCTCAATGCGCTAGATAAGCAAGAAGAATTCATCTGCCTAAAACTTTCATTATTGCTTAAAGAAATTTCCGGAGTTGATATAGGGTATAGAGAAAGTATGTATAAATTAGTTACTAAGAAGCGAGCAATGTCCTTAGAACAATATTTAATATCATATTATTTGGATGAGTGTAAGTTACTAGCAGATTTTCGAAACACATAGTACAAAGTAGTTGGCCTAGAAATTACACGCTATCGAACATTATCAAAGTTACAGGATGATAAAAAAGATGATTCGTCTGAAGCGGATATAAACGAGATCATCGAATTATATGGATAGTACTTTTAGCCGAAATTCCCACAATCCGCTAAGAGAACTTATACAATATTATTTATATTTTTTTTTCTTGTGCAATAATACCGGCTAACTTCAATTCCTATCTTCGAACTTCAGCGACAAGCGCGCCTAAGATGATCACTCCAATATTCTAGCCTCTGATCATATATCCCGACCTCAGATATGCCCGGAGATAATCATTAGTATTTTACATATCAAAGTTTACGATCAGCCGAAAATCTGCATATTTTAAACATAGTCTTTATTGGTATAATGGCTGAATTACGTGATCAAGTATTCTAGTACATAGAATTCGAACCAAATGAAATTCGCCTCCTGATCACAGAAGAGGATAGGTGGCTATTTAGTAAGATAATAGCAGATCAGGAAGGAATGACGGATATTGTAATAGATGACTATCGATTTTTACTACAGCATAGGCATAATGGTAAGGGAGGCGACTGAATCCATATTGGTTAGTTATTAGCATGTACGGTATCCCAAGCAGAAAAAGTCTTAATAAATCCGCCTGAAGATTTATCAAAAAAGGTATTAGCCCGCATTCAAAAAAGATTCGAAGAAGTCCCACTAGCGCCAGTACTTATACGGTAGTCAATTAGGATTTGAGATAATAAATGTCTGGCCTATGTTCTTTATTAATATTTTTTCTCTTGGGTTCGTACTCCACGAATTCCATATTTTTTTCCCAACGATCCATATAATTATAAGAAATAAAGCAAGAATAGCATATGACATGGGGTCCCGAAAGAGACTGCCCATTAGAGAACTCGTAACGACAGAAACAGTCACTGGTGCTATAGGCATTTCTCAGGACAATGGTACTGCTTCTGCGCCACCCAATTGCTTTGCAACTCCTTCCCTCGAAATAAAGTTTTCAGAATTTGTTGGTTGACTATGAATGGATTGATTGGGAAAGGTATCTGTCCGACTTTTCAGAACTATCTCATTTCGGGATAATAGCTCTTGCAAAACCTCTAATATATTCTCTCTGGCAAAACTTTTATCGAGTTCCATAACTTTATAATCAAGACCGAGCTCATGGATGAGGGGTCTTAGATCATCATTGAGCCAACCTGGTAGCTTTTGTGATGAATCATTCATAGGCAGATCCTCTATCATCCCTCCCACTACATTCGAATCATGGAATATCTGATCCGGTTTCAAGTCCTCCAACTTACCTTCCAATTCACGTACTTTAACTTCAAGAGAAAGAATCTGGATCTTGTCATCGAACGAAGCTTTCTGGGTCAAAGTTGCCTCTCTCTTTAATGTTTTAATATTGGATTTGAGTGATTTGATTTCGGCAGTATATCTGGCTTCAAGCTCACGTTGACTCTCAGAATGAGACTTCCGTTCAGAAATAAGTTGGGATCTAACCTTAGTAGTGGACGCAATTAACTGGCTAGCTTTATTTTCAAACTCCTTTTTTCGTTCATTATACTTATCTACCAACTTTTCACTAAAATCATTAATTTCGGCTTTAGATTTAAGAGCGAAATATAATTTTTCTTTAAGCTCTTGCTCATATGCACTACCAAGTCATTGACCGACCCCCTTGAAGGAACCATCATCTTTATTATTAATATCATTTAAGGTATGTACATTGGTTATAGCCTTTTTTTTGGCTTAGTTGCTAGTATATTAAAAAATATGTGACTAAAAATTTTTTATAGGATAGCTGGATCTCATAATGCGTATAATACTGATACTCCTGATACTCCTAATACTTCTGATACTCCATGTAGTATTAATTTTTTATGCACATTTTTACTAGTATCACAAATAGTCTCCATACCATGTGTAGAACTAATCCTTCCGATACTTCGCATAATACTGGTTCTCTGCATAGTTTTGATAGTCTGTATAGTCCACATAGTATTAATATTACGCATACATATTTTTTATAAATAGTATAAAAATCTGATCGACCACCAATATGATTAACCCTCCACCTAGAAGGTATATGCGCTCTGACGCCACAAAATTATCATCTGTAGATTACGAAGATATCATGCAATACTGGGATATAAAGTCTAAGCCCCTGAAAGAATTAAGAAAAAAATTTCATATATCAACTTCTCGCTTATATCAGATTTGGAAAGGGCAGGAGGTAGGAAGGGTCGAATAGAACTATTCAGCAGTCCCACTTTCTTATTCGAGTAAAAATAATATAAATAGACAGGACATACCTGAGGTCCCAGCAGAGTGTATCACCGTTGAAAGTAAGGTAAAAAAGACTGGAGAAAAAAAAACTAAGTCTAAATCCGTTCGTATTTCTGAGTCAGCTGTTATTCAGACACCACTAGCTTCAAAAAGTTTAAATATAAGCAATGAGGAATTAGGAGCATTTTATGAGAAAG